AAAAAAATGATTGAAAACGAATTGTTCTCTTTTTCTTTTGATTATTTCATCTCACTCCAATGTCTTTCTTTCATTTTCTTTTCTTTTTTTTTAAATTCATTTTCTTTTTTTTTTTTGAATTCGTTTGATTACTGTGTTTCACTTCTTTTTTTCTATTATTGCGATCGAGAAACGATGGCCTATCTAACTGTTCCCACAATGCAAAGCATTTCGTGATATACAATTTGTTTATACATCATCGTAGATCAATTCCAAGAATAAAAATTTGTCTAGTGAATTTCAATTAATATCATATAAATGAATAATAGTACACAATAATATTGTTGATGTACAGTTTTTCATTGAGAAAACCTAAATTCTCTAGATTCTAATCGAAAATGTTTGATAGAAAAGGCATTCACGTAATAAATAGAAAATTTTAATTTTTCATAAACTAATAGACTCATGTCCTCGAGACGAATGATGACCGTAAACTAAAAATAAAAATACTACTGTAGAAAACTGTTTATATGATTACAGCATATTATAACCAAGGTACTGTACTAGTAAAGGACTTTCCTTGAAAGTTAATAGTTTATTACGTCTAGATTCATATCGAAAATGTCGAATTTTTACTCGGTGATATGTTACGGTCTGTAAATTGATCATTGACGTAAAATAGTTATAACATTGATCAATAATTATATTTCTGTAACTCATGGTAATTGATTGATCTATTGTTTATATATACAAAAAATTGCAAACTACCCTTCATGAATAAAATACATAGAGAAAAAAGGGAAACTATCATAAATTGTAAAATAATTCACCTGGATATACCGATGATTAATATAGAATTATAAATTCTGTTCAATTTCTCTTATGTATAGCTTAGTTTGCTTGAATTCTGTGGTCTATTACAGGCAATGTTACCAGGATACAATGTTTATATGTTAATATACATGAATTCAATCACTATCATTCTCTTCTTTTTATTTATCATCCTCTAAAGTCCAACAAACAACAAGTATGAAAGATCGAGAACAACAGAAAGAAAACGAAATATATATATATAAGACTACTTACACATTCTCATGCGTTTTTTTTTCAATTTGCACGCAAAATAAAATAAGAGACCAAAAACGAATATATAGAATAAGACAGAAAGGATAACAACGCATAGACATAAAAAAGTGTGTGAGAGAGAGGGAGAGATTTCAACGATCACCGGAAAAAGTCGTATAAAAAAAAGATGTCATCTGACAATATAATGTTCTTGTATTCTATTTTTAAATATTCCATAGTACATTATAGTACGTATGTAAATATTGTACATATATAGTCCATGTATAATGAAAGATTAATGATGATTCGGCTTTTCGAACTTGATTTAAACATGTATGTACTAATTCAGCATTTGTTTCAAAATCATATGTTAAATTTGATTGTATATGTTCAAGTAGTTGTTGATTATTTAATAAATGATTAATAAATTCATGTAATAATGTGCTATTATTATTTGTATCATTTGATAATTTTTCACATAATTGTTTATGTAAATCAACAAGAACATTTTCATTTAAATGAAATTGTGATCGTTTTATATGAAATGTTTGATATAATTGATCAATAAAATGAAATAAAAATTCAACAATTATTGGACGATTCGATATTGTTAATGATGATGATAATGATATATATGTACTATCTTTTAAACATTTATTTATGTAATCATACCATTGATTGTAATTTGTATTTGTTTCATAAAGATTTATTTCATGATTAAAATAATTTGGAATAAATTTTTCGTTTATTTGTACATGAATTTCTCGTAAAAAGTGCGACATTAAATCGTGTATATTATCAGTTGTATGTTCGCGATTACTAAAAAAAATCAAATAGAAAAATCACGAACGAAACTATACTGTAAACTAGAAATAGAGTTTTTTGAAGGATATTCTAGAAATGTCTATATGAATTCCGGCGCCCGCGGGAAGGGTCTAAGATTGGGGGGGGGGGGGGATAGCTGTAGCGGGTTTTGAAAGAGCGTAAAAATTCTTGGGTGGGAGTGTAAAAGGGTATTTAGAGTAAAATTTGTTCCTGTCGCTGAAAAAAAACAAAAATTTTCAATCTACAGCTGTTTGCTGGGAAATAAATTTGAATTCATAGGTTCGCGAAAATCAACTTGAATTATAAAATTTAAAAATTGTTGACATTTCTGGAATTTCAAAAAGAAATTTACAGTGTAGAAAAATAGAACTAGATGTAAAATTGGTATAAATTTCCGATCAGTCTATCATCGGAAGACTGGCTAATATAATTTTACGAATACTATATATGTACTTCACATTGAAAATCGATGACTTTTTTAATTAACGGAATGGAGTGTTTTTATAGACATTTTAATTCTATCTCTATTAGAAATTATACCGGTCTCTTGACTTTCATCCTTGCATGAACGTTAATATATGGCTGAATAAACTAACACTTTTTATTCTCATTATTTAGAATAAATAGAACTTTACCTTGAAAAAGGTAAACCATATTTTTCACAATAATTTAAAAAGCAATGTTTTACACATGTACGAGTTGTTGCTGTTTGAGAAAATAATTGTTGACATAATGCGTAGAAATATAATGTAGATTCATTCATTAATTCAAATAAACTTTGTTCAATTAAATCAAAACTTATCTTCCATTTATGATCATTTTGAATTGGTACGAGTATCAGTGGTTTCTTAATGATTATATTTAAATGATATTTTGATGGCCATTTACGTTTTGAATCACGTATTGATTGTGTAAAATAATTATCAAGGAGTAATTTAGGCCAACGATAAAGTAGAAAAGCAAATGAATATTGTTCATAATCAATATGAACTGTATCAGCAAATGTTTTTTTATTATCAGATAAAAATGTTGATGAAAATGCATCGGTTATATTTGATTTTTCTTCTTCAAGATTCGTTTGTAATGAATCACTTAAAGACATACATGGTGGGAGACGTAAAGCAGCAAATGTTAAATTATTTTCCAATGAAAATGAACTAGAATAAATGAAAAATTTGATTTTTTACTCTAGAAATTTTATTAAACAAGATTTATTTACCTTGTATGATTTGTTTGTTGTTTAATTAGACAAGTAATATGACTTCCGTCACCTGTTAAAAATCGTTTAGCAATTGCACATGTTTGATTAACAAGTATTAATGTATTAAACCATTGTTGAATTAAATTTGATGATACATAATAAATATTATCTTCTGATGAATGAAAAATATATGGTAATATATGTTTAGGAATTTTATCTTCATCAATACGTATAAATCCCGTATGAAATGAATCATCCGATGTAAATATATATAATGATTCTGGTTCAATCGGTACTTTTTTTGATTTTGTTGTATCATCATGTTCGGTAGTTTTATTTTCAATTGTTATAAAAACATGTGTTCGATCAAGTTCAATACGTTTCTTTTTATATTCATCATCATCAGCTTCAATTTTATAATCGCTTGTCGGAATAAAATAACATTTTGAACGTATTTGTTCATAAGTTCTATATGAACTATGTGTATTTGATGATAAATTCGGTAATATTGATTCGGATGGAGTTATAAGAAAAAGATTTAAACTATCAGCTAGTGTTTGATCAATACCAGGAAATGGATAAATAACTGTTGCTATTGAAAAATGATTTTTAAATGTTTGTTTTACTGAAGGATTATTTAATCGAGTGAGAAAGTCTTTTAAATAAATATTTAATCGAAAATTTTTCACTAGAGCTAAATATTCACGATTATGTTTTAATGTTAAAATATGTGGAAAATCAGTTTTGGGAGAAGTTGTTTCTAGTAATTTGGTTGATTCATCTTCCTAGATAGATAAAAATATATTAATTTATGTATTTTATTCGAAAAATAATTTTTATTTACTTGTCTATATGAACCATTGAGATTCGTATCATCATATTCATCACCAGTTGTTAAACTACGTTTGATTTTTTTATTATTTGTTGATACTACTGTTCGATTTGCATGAGTTGATTTATTACGATTTAATGAAGGTGTACCAACAATAGGTAATGAATCGATCCATTGATCAATACTAGATGAACCATGAAGAGATTTTTCTAAATCTTCAATTGATAATCTAGCATGTTGAATTGATTGAGAATAGTATGTTCGTTTTGTATCACCTAATGTAACACGAAATGATCGACCTATTGGTGGTAATTTTGAAACAGTTACGGATTTTCCTGGAGGTAATGGTGGTTTTGAATGAATAGGTTGTTGTCCTTGATTTCCATCAGGAACATCTGGTGAGACTGAAACAACATTATGTAACGATACGGAACGACGATTATATGATGACAAAAGAGTTTTTTCTGCGTCATCTTGAGTTATATGTGAAGTTGATGGAATTATTTCCTTGAATAATGGAGGAGAACGATAAATTTTTTCATCAGGTTTAATACGATCGAATGTTGGAAAATATTTTTCATCAATTGAAAGTGATGATGATGAAGAACTTTTCGATATTAGACATGGACAACAGAAAAAACTTTGCTTTTTACTTGTTGATTTTTTTGATGCTGCTGCTGCTGTTGAAGAATTGTTTCCCATGATATAATTACTGTCTAATTTGCATCTAAACTAAGTTAGATTTTTTCAATTAATATATATATATACAAAACAGATAGAGTGCTATTTATTTATAGGAAATAAGAAGAATGTAGAGGCATATGTGTCAGGGACATTCATGAGAATATTGCACCTCTGCTTATTACAAGGTTCATCGACAACTGTACAAACGTTGACCGATTGATGCAATAAACTTATCTATTACTCTCGTCTGAACGCACAAGTACACGTAATCAAAAGAAAGAGAAATGTCACAATACAATAGATTTTTTTTCGATGTACAGGATCAGATTTCACGGTATAAAATGACGGAAAAAAAAGATTAGTATCGTCAAAAATAGATAAAAACGGAAATAAATGATTAAATTTTCATCGACAACGAAATAAGAAGATGAAGGAAAAGAAAAAGATGTGTGTCTCTCTTTAATAGTTTATACTTATCTTTTTGTTTCATCCGGTCCGACATTGATGAAGTTTATCGGAAAGAAATGCTCGTGCGCACACATAAATAAAGCAACAAGAAAGAGAATAGTACAAATGTGTGTACTCAAGTGATTAGTCTCCTCCTATTTAATTGTTCTTTTTCTATGACGAGTCCCATTTTTTTCCTTCTGTCTGCACTTGAAAATGCTGTACTGCGATGTTTATATTTACAAATGAACTTTACACATACGAAATAGGGAGGATCTATTGAATTTCGATTCATTTAAATCTGTCCGAACAATTCAAATTACTGCCACTTCGCATGTCTTCTTTTGTTTATTATACAAAGACAAAAATGAAGATCAAGTTACAATAAATAAGAAAAAAACGATTTTTAAAAGTATCTGATTAATATCAGTGTAGGCGATGTAAACAATAAGCAGTAGAAATAGTTATGTCATCATGTATTCTCTTATGTAGAAAAGTGTCGATTACTAGAGGATATGCTGTCAGACACATACGTATGTATGTATGTATGTTGATAATGACAAAAAATAAAGACGAAAAATGATTGATTGTTGACAACACGACTGGAATGATAATGAGAACTGAATTTTAGATGAAAAATTGATCTTTTAGAAATAATTAAAACTCAAGTCATATTTTTTTAGTAACATCAAACGGAAGAGAAAATGTTACTGATTAATCTATCAAGTAATATGCTGATGAGATAAAAAGAAAAATATCTACGCACGCAACCCATTAAACCAGATGCATATAAAACGCTAACACATCAACGAGCTAAATGTCTATATGTATGTTTACATGAAAGAATTATAAATCTAAATAAACAAATTTGAAAAAGAAGACAGTTAGTAATTATATATAAAAATAAAATATTTTTAATGTAATCAATTAGAAAGATTGCCTCTGTATCTAACTTTTCCAAAGAATATATCAAAATGAAAAGAGATATTCAATGTTCTACATTATTTTCTTCTTTTCTTCTTTTGCTCTCATTCTGTTATCTATTATAATAAACTAATCACTACGCCTGTTTTTCCGAATTGGTTGATTCGTGCTAAAACACAGATGACACTAGACGCTGGGGAATGTTTTTCCAAATATCTTCTTTGTATTATTATAGCTTTATTCCATATGATTTTTCAAAGAACCAATACATCTTTGAATATATGTCATTTGATTGCTTTTATATTAAAGTTGATGTAGAAGAAGAATTTATTGCATTCCAACAAACGGTTGATAGAACTATTAATTGAATTTGAGTTATTATTGTTGGTCGATCTACTATGTGAGTAGATAGAAGATATATATATTAAAAAGAAGTTAAAGAAAAAGAAGATAATCGAGCATGTTTGATCAATTGATAAATATCTGTTGAAATTATTGAATAAACTCAGTTTGATCGTTTTGAACACTGTTGAGATTTCATTAATAATAACAGAACTATGTCGACTACTTCTTGATTGATCTTTCAATATATTCTATTGGGGACAATTGTTATAACTAGATTGATTTCAACTAAAGCTTTTTACCCAAACTATAAAAAACGTTTTTTCCTAAAATTTTCCAGCATTGAAATTTATTCTTTTGTTAAAAACGACAACTGTGGATTAAGTGTGAATACCTACAATACGAGTGTTCAATTTTTTTCTCACAAAAGAGTACTTCTGTTTGAGAGAGTCAGTAATAAAGAAAAGTATCATTTACTTCTTCTTAATACTCATAATTTCATAAAATCTAAAAGATATTACCACGCATGAAACTCGATCATTCTCTAACTAAGTACTATTCTCAATGAGCAAAAGATGAAAACATTGCAAAAAAATAAAACTTAAAGCAAGCTATTGATATATAATGTCAGGAGTGTAGACAGTTTACGAGAAACATTCTACACATTTAATTTTTTCGTGTACTTAATATTTAATCAGTGTCGTAAGCAGTGTGCTAACAACATATATTTCTTGATTTATGTAGCAACTGAAATAAAAGTTTTCATCATTTCTGATATGTAAATATTAAATTTTCTAAAAAGTTAAACCGTTCATTATTTGGAGTTTTCAAGTCAATGGGTATGTACAAATGAAATGATCGAAACTTCAGCATACTTCATAATAATTGAAAAAAAGGGAATTAAAATATTCATGTGTCATCAGTTAAAGGAATAAAATATTTTGTTATATCAAAAAGAAGATAAACGTAAATTATTGCTTGTAGATTTTCTACTGAATTAAACTTCTAAGAAATCTACATAGAAACAAATAGTTAGTCATACTCCATTCTTTATCAGTAATAGAACAAAGAAACATTTCAAGAAGCGATTTAAAGATTTTTGTTTTGATTAAAAACAAAATAATAAATAAACTTATCCAGTAGATTGTGTAACATATCGTTCCAAACAAAAAATATACAGCTGTGTTGCTGACTCAGACAAAGAACAATCATTGTTCATCGATTTTTATCAATTCTTTCATAAGGTTTGTAGACATTCGTATGCGCGTATTTGATATTGACAAAATATTTATTAATCAAGTAAATAATCTTCGTTTTACGTCAAGTTGAATGCAAACGATCCAAAAGAACGTTTTATGAGTAGGAATGAGAACTGATATGACAAGTACGGAATCAAGATTTTTTTTTATTTTGTTTAATCTTGTTTATTATATGTAGCAAATAATCATAACAAATTTACTTGCATGCAATCGATATTTAAAGATTCTCATCTAAATCATTTTTCGATAATTCGTAAATTTCAAGAAAATACATAAAATGATGAATCGTACAAAATCGAATCACATCAGATTATGTCGGTCAATACTGAATAATTATAAATTTTATGAACAACCACTTAATCAATACAAGATTACTACCTTAGAATACTATTGGATCTTCTCAGATCTTATAAAATTCTCATCGAATTTCGTAACAGATCCGATAAGGTTCGACTATTGAATTAAAGCAAATAAGTATAACAAAATTTATGTTTTATTAAACATTCTTAAATATCTTAATTAACAAATTGTTCTTTTTTATCTATATTTCAAAAACAAACAAAGACAGATTATCTGTCTTCATCAATCTGTTCAAGAAAACATGTTTCAGTATTCCCCTTCATAAGATCACCTATGATTTCATCACCCAACTGTTCATATTGATAACGTTTACGAGGATAACCCCATAACAATTCAAATTGATTAGGTACATTGACATTAGTCCATGCAAATTCAAATAAAAGTTTAGCGGAATCAGTTCGTTGAAAACGACGTTTAATCGGTTCATTATCTGGTAAACGTATTGATACTTGAATAATATCATTTTCTGTTGATGATGGTTCAGAAGGTAGTGATTGTCTTAGACGATCACGAAAATCAGTAAATTCCTTAAGATAATTAAAAATATTATTTTATTTTTATGTTTCATTATATAATACTTGAAGTTTTTTTTGTTCTTCTTCTTCTAATTTACGTCGTTCATTTTCTTCACGTTGACGTTGTTCAGCCTTAAGTAGTCAAAAAAGAGATTTGAATAACAAAAAAAAATTAATTTCAACAAACTTTTTCTTGATCGATTCGAACGGAATCTAAATAAGCGGCATTTTGTTCTTCTAATAGACGATCTCTCGAATTACTGATAGTTCTTCGTTCACTATTGTAAAGAAAATTTAAATGAAATATTTTTTCTTTTTCTAACAATTTACCGATTATACTGTAATGTTTGATTAGCATTTTCAACAGCATTAATAATTTCCGCTAAACATTGGTCACAATCTTAATAATACGAAAGAAAAAACAAACACTACTGATTATTTCACTTGTAAATTTCATTTACCAGTATATCGATCTAACTTAAATTGAATCGTTTGTTGTGAACCGTGATGAGCAATAATACAAAGGCAAGGATAAAAATTTGCAGTTAATAAACGACTAGCTGAATAAAATTCAAGAAATACGTATTGAAAAAATACAGCACAAAATAGAAGCGTACCTGCAGCACCTTCTTGAGTATCTAGACTTGTACTCCAAAAAAGATTATCACCGACTGTGAGTTGGATAGCATCTCTACAAAGTACTTCGCTAAAAGAAAATAAATAAGTATAGAATAATTTCGATCTAATAATATATATTTATCTTAGTTACATATGCTAAGATTCACATAGAGATTCTAATTTGATTGATTATATGCTTACAAATGGTCAAATCGTACTTTATAACGAAAGCTTACAATTTATATATAATAATTATTAAATCTGAACTTATAAGTATTGATTAATTTTAAAGAACAAAATACGTATGTAGTCGAAATCAGAGATACAATGTTTGTGTTATCGAACATTTATTGGTGGCAAACTTAGCTTAAAATTAGCGTCAATAATTCAGCTATTATGTAAGTTCAACCTTTAAAAAATCATTATTTCAAATGATATAAATTTGTAATATGTATGTAAAAGATAAAATATTGTATTAGGAAGCAAGTTTCGCTTTTGATTTATAGATACTTACTGACAAAATCGATCGCATAATGTTGAATTTTTATCATGT